ATGCAGCTGAGCTAAATCCCCAGCCCCAACCCTCTCTTTTTAACAGTGTTAATACTAAAGATTTTCACTATGTTACTAGGAGGCATGCAATTATTTTGAATAGTATTAAATAATTTGTCACTTAATACACATAAAGTCAGCATTGAGAACAGACAAGGTGGGTGATGCATTCATTGATTCAAAAATACTTATTGAGTACTTACTCTGAGACTATCTCTGTCCCAGATCCCAGTGATACAGTGACCAAAGAGGCAGGATGTGTACAGAAGTGGGAGGAACAAATACAATCCAGTATTCATTAATAAGGAGCAACAGGGTTTAGCAGGAGTAGAGGATGACGGGAAGGGACCTGATTGCTGGGCAGCCAGGAGGACTCCTCTGAGAGAAGAGGTGAGGATGGACCTGATGGAAGGGGCGGGGGAACTGAGTGAGGTTGTGGGGGGCCGGAAGGAGTGACAGAAAGGAGAGGGGTAGGAGAAGAGGCTAGAGGACCAAATGGGGTTGAGATCAGGCAAGGACTCGTGGCCACATTTTATTCTCCGTGTGACAGGAAATCAGTCCTTGGAGGATTTACCGGTGAAGTGATCTGGTCCGCTCTAACCACTAAACCTTAGATCAGCAGCTGTGTGAAAATGGACGTTAGAGGGCGCTAGAGTAGAACCATGCAAAGCCGGAAGCGGTAGAATGGTGGGCCTGGGGATCTATTTTGAAACAGAACTAATAGGACTTAACTGAATGTGTGTAGGGGAGCGCGACAGAGGGCACTCCTGGTCTAATCGACAAAAACAAAAATGGGGGTCTTACAGACCAAACAACAACGAGGAGAATCAAAACCCATAGCTACATGGCATCATGGTTGGTACTCCAGAGAGCACCGTCCTCGGAGGTTAGGAGCTAATCATGGCACGGCTGCAGGCAGCATTTTGTTGCACAACGTCATTCCTGTTTATTGAGACTTTTGGCTGGGAAGACTTATCTCAGAGACCAAAGGGAACTGCAGGAAATGGTGTCTCTTGATGAGCAAGGATGTTCACTTCCTCCCACTGGCAGAGTTGGGGAGGCCGCCAAGTGCAACAAGTTTCGGTATTGTCCTCCCCCAAATTCTGGGAGGGCAGCAACTCTATTCACCATTGTACACTGAGCACCTGGCAGAGGGTATGTGCAATAAACATTTGCTGAACAACTGGAATATAAGAACAAAGGAACACCACAGGCCTAGAGGTAGCCTAAGCCTCCCTGAGAAACCGTATGTTAAGAGAAAATAGCAAAACCCAGGCCAATGCAGAAAAAAAAAAGAATCAAGTTCAGGAAAGGGTTGGGGTTGAGTAATCAGTAAGAGCTCCAGGATGAAGCCAAGAAATGAGAAACTGATTTTGCAAGAGACAGCTCAAAGAGCTACGGAACACTCATTGTTAGGATCTTGCTGCTAAACTTGATGATCTCATCACAAGATCATCAAATGTCAGAGCTGGAAGAGATCTGGAAAGACTTTTGGCTGGAGTTTGTTCATTTTACAGATGAAGAAAATAAGGCAAAATGAACCCGGGTTGCTGGACTCCATCTGCCACGTTCTTTTTCATACTGTGTTGATTACCAGATACATTAAACTTCCTTTTTCATAAGTAGGCTCAAGGAGGAGATTTTAGGGGCAAAGTGGAAAGATGGTCCTTTAAAAGTGTAAATCTATTCTCAAGTAAAAATTCTTATTTTAGAATTCAGTTTCATAAAAAAAAGTCATCTGTTGATAAATCCTTTCTCTTATCAGCCAGTGACAATCAGGCAGCCCATCATGGTGCCCTTTTTTGACATGGGTACCAACAAGCTTTGAACTAAACTGAACACTTAATCTTCCTAATAAGAGTGGTCTTAGTTTTTGGCAAGCAGCACTTATTTCCCCTCTTTATGATTTTTCTTTATTTTGATTGCCTTATTGTATATGAATATTTTACATATATTTTACTATATTAAGTTCATTCTAGAAGTCAGCCAGGTAAATCACCAATAAACCAAAACAGAAGGAAGATTTCTTTCGTTCTAGGCAATGAGATTGCTCCTTCCTATATGGTATCAGTTTTCAGATCCCACTCTTGACCTGAAACCTCAGATCTTACCTCCTGGCTGCACATTTACAAAGAAGCAGGCTACTGCAGGACAGATTGCATACAAATGACTAGTTAGAAAATTGTAGGGTCTGCCTACTAAATAGGCAAGTCCTTGGAAACTTCTCCAAAATGAAAACAAGATGTGGAGGGAGAGAGCTATTTCCTGCATTGACGTGGCAGAACTTTGCTTAAAGTGGGACCCCAGGAGGCCAGGCAGCCCAAGCTGTGCATGGTCAGCAGGTGCTGGGCTGTGTCTCTTCCAAATCTAAGCTCTCTGCTAACTTCAGCCACAAGGTTGATCCTCTCCAGGCCAGAGAAATGAGATCACGTAGCCTCCATCTCTTCTGGATTCTGGCCACATAAAGAGATTAAAGCACTCATTTTCTGAAGCCACGAGGCTTTCTCTTCCCTCCCTACATGAAATTCCTCCTCAACCACAAAAATTTAACCCAGGCAGAATTAGGAAAGCAATAAAGGAGTCCATGCAGAGATCTTTCTCCCTACTCCCTCTCTGCTTCAGAATCTTCTGTTGCCATTTCTGGGTAGCAAAAGAAACAATAAATAAGGCTCAGAAAATGTCAACTGTTTATTCATTGGAGCTTGAGATTTCCTGTGACTTTTTGTCTTTTATTCTTTCCTGAGTTTGTAAATTTTGTTCTTTATTCTTATGGTGTTAGGCATGATTTCCTTGATCATCTAAGAGATATGTTCAAAAGAAAAATGGTTTTGAGGGTACCGTTGCTCATGGAGAGTCCTCTAAGGCACCTATTTGGATTCTGCTCATGATCTCCTAGTCAGAGCCAATTTGTTCAGATTCAGACAAGAAGCTGCTGCCGCAGGGTTCCCAACACCTTGAAAAATGAGACAGTTCCAAAAATCTATGGCACTTCTTTAGAAAGATCTCAGCAAGATTATGAATCACAGCTAAGAGTGTTGTGGGACCTCATCATGGCAGTGAGAGCTTACCCTTATTCCACCCTGCCTGGCCCACTATCCCGATGTACCACATGTTATCTATAATCCTTGGGCAAATTGCTTATCTTTATGTAATACTTTTCCCATATGTAAAATGGGGATAATATGAATTTTTATGCCACAGAACGGATTCTCCAGCACTGCTGTGTGCAAAAGACAAAGAAGCAGGTATAAAAACACAGATTATTGATACCACTCCAGTAGGTTTGGACTTAGGGCCTAGGAATCTGCATTTTTTTCCTTTTTCTAAAGATTTATAATTTTTTATCTTTTCAGAGGTTTTACTCCATGATCGGTCCTGTTTTTCTGGGCAAACAGCAGCCCAGCATATTATGGCAGAAGCGCATGGTGGAGGAGGGATCTTCAGGACTTGGTGGTCAGAATGCAGGAAGATAGACTGTCAGTTCCCATTATCACCAGGAAGGGCATGACCTAACTTTCTTCAACTGACGTGTCAAAGTTCACATGATTTTGCACTAAAATATAATTTATCTCATCTTCCCTTCTCATGAACTTTACCAGGAATCTGTATTTTCAAGTTTTTCAGATGATGTTGTTGCAGCTCTATCACATCGCTGAGAACTACTATCAAAGGGTTATGGCACTGCATATATAACTGTTAAACACGATTACTTTTGCATACTGCTGTTATCACTGATTAGCAGTGATGTTAATTACTGGTGTTAAGTACCACTGATTAAGTGGTGTTAGTTATTATCTTACAGGTTGCTCCCATCACTCTTATAAATGATAGTAAACTTGCAGTTAAACCTCAATGTAATATAAGAAACCTCAGGATATAAAAGAGAAAATCTTAAGTTCCTAGTAAAAATATCCTTATTTAGAGCACATACATTGAGAATGCCTAAAATCAGTTCCATAGATCGCGGGGTCTCCTAAAACCTGTCAGCACCCATCTGTACATTTACGATCTGTACTTTCCTCAAGAGGAACAGAAACTGACACAACGACTTCTTGAGGTTTCACGTCTTTTCTCTTACAGTAAAAGTGCCAAAATAGACTTAGTCATATGCTCACAAAGAATTCTTCAACTCGGTTCAAGTAATTAAGGCAGTTGGAAACAGCAGCTTTGAAACAGCAAAGAAAACACCCACTGCAAGAAGGGAGATGGTTAAAAAGCTCTCCACAACAAAGGAACGGAACGTGAATCCCTAACCTGCGGGCACTCTAGCAACCTTCAGGCCAAAGAGAAAACGCTCCGTTGAAAAGCTGAAGCCTGTTAGGCTTTGTGTAGGGAGAGACAGTAATCAAACACAGTGTCGAAGGTTAAGACGTTTTCCTCCTAGGACCGTTGGGCAGTACTGGAGCCCAAAACAGAAAAGGAACAGGAAAACCCCAGTCTCCTTCCCTTGCCACGCGTCGCTCCTTCTAAGAACAAAACTTCTTTTTAACGAACTTAAGTCAAACGCCTCTTCTGTTGTGAGCACCCGCGTACTGGGGGCGCGCGAGAGGTGTGTGTGTCGCGGGATGGGGGTGGGGGGTAATCAACGGCAGCCAGCCCTCGGCAAACATCTAACTTTTCCAACTCAATCGGATCTGTTTTCAGCATGAATTCTCCCGCGAAACATGAGAATGAGATAAAGCATTCTTGCTACGCGATGGCTTTTGAAAAATTACACAAGGGTGCATGATTGCAGGAATGCAAAAAGACGTCTCGCCTTGACAGTTACCGAGTGTAGGGTGCAAACCACTTTCCCTGACATTTCTTTAACAAGGTCCGTGATTACCCTCCGCACTGCGCCGCCAGGAGGACTCCACGAAGGTAGGTCGTCGTTTCCGGGGGTAAGGCGCAGAAGTGGGCAGCCCCTGGGGGCTCCAGTCCAAAGCCTCCCCAGGCTTTGGCATGAGGGGTAAAGATGAGACACCGGTCCCCAGCCGGGATCCTGGACTGCCACGACTCACCTCGCCAACTTTTCCAGACTCGCTGCACCCTGGCGGCCGGCTCCCGGGCGCGGACGCTGTGGCCGGCGCCTCCGAGCGCCGGGGACCCCCGGGAGGGCGCCCGGGCCTGGCAAGCGCGCGGGGACCGGCGCAGGGTGGCGCTGCGGGACGGACGCGGGGCGCGCGGGCGGCGCGGGGGGCTCGGCGCGGCCGGCGCGCAAGGACAGCAGCACGAGGAGCAGCGCCGCCAGTGCCAGCAGAAGCAGCGCCGCCGCCTTGCTGCGGAGCCTCATGGTGCGGCGCGGCCCCTCTGCGCATCGCGGCGCGCCGGGAGTCGGGGCGGCGGGGCCAGCGCAGCAGCGCGCAGCGGCCGCCTCCTCCGCCCGCCCGCCCGCCCGAGTCTGGTCGCCGCGCGCGGCGGGCGGCGGCACGGAGGAGGTGGCGGCGGCTTCGGAAGAGGAGGGGTAGGAGAGGAAAGGGAGGAAAGGAGTTAGGGGAGGAGGCGCCCTCGCCTACCGTACTGTGTGGAATAGTCGCCCGTCCGCCCACCGGCTGCCGCCACGCGCGGGGATTTCGGTAAGCTCGGGCTCACACCACTTCATAGGTTCATCCACTCAGTTACTTCCTTATCCACTTGCCCACCTCTTCCATCCGCTCCTGCTTTGGTTCCCTCGTGCCACGACCCGTGCGTGTACTCCATGCGTTTTCCTATCGTTTATTTTATTCGCATATCTGTGCACCTATGCATTTATCCACACATCCTCTAAGCAGGGATATCTTTGTCCTCTGTTTGCACAGGGGGCTCTAGAGCACATAGTAGCGCCCAATAAAAATCTTTTGGAGAGAATCACTTTAGATCATGCAGTCTGATGAAACTATAGCATGTGTTTCAAAGTCTCCATTGTAAATCTATCACTTTCCTGAGCAAATTACAGAACTTACTTAAGCTTTAATTTCCTTACTGCAAAGCAGAAATGATAGTGCTGTTCCACGAATTGGCGTTTTGTGAGCATCGAATTAAATAACATGTTTGAAGGAACTAGCACAGTGTCTGGTTCATGGGCCCTGATGAAATTTTTATAATTAATGCAATGGGAGATAGTTCATTGTACACATGTAAGTGCAAATTTTGTTTTCTTTCTGGCAAAAATGTGAGATAGAATAATAACTTCCCATCCAATGAATCAGTGGATTCTTTGAAGCCTTAGCCACAACCACCAAATCAATATCAGAATTTCTTACCAATTCTTCTGACTGTCCCCAGGCACAGATCAGAAACTTTAGGACACATCCTCTTACTCTTCATTACTCAGTGATCTCCAGCATTCTATTAATTCTCTAAAGTGAAGGTGCAGAATACTATTCGTAACATTGCTTTTAGTTTCTACAAGACCCCAGTGCACTGACTTATAAGTCAGCTAAGATTCAATTATATTATGAGTCTTTCTTATTTGAGCACTGTGGGAACTTACTGTAAAGTTCCAGGACCAAGAATATTGAATAACAGGAACCTCTTGCCAAGCAAGCATCTAGGAAACTCAAGATGGAGGCAGCGGATGTGGTAGGTGAACCAACAGGTCCAGTTCCTCATGGGGACAGAGGAAGGGGAAGCATCCATCACCCACTGCGAAGCATCTAGGATTGTAGGAAGCATGTCTGGGTTGTCTTGACGGCTGACAGGTCCTACTGGCACACTGCTAATCTCATTGCAGTCTCAGGACACTATAGCATAATAAAAAATGGTCTTGAGCCAATGGCCAATGTCGAGAAACATTGGTGCAGGCTGAGATCAAGTGTTTTGGCCTTTCAAGTTTAGACACGGCTACTTCTATTTTGGGACATGGTCTGGTGAAGCAAGAATCTCCCAAATCTGCCTTCCCATCTCCACAATAGGACGTATGCAACTGGGTTAAGTAAGGCGAACCAAGTGTATGTGATGATGGCAGCTGAGGTCATTTGGCTTTAAACAGAAAATTGGATTTTGTTTGTTTATTTATTTGGGACAGGTAAATTGAACCACACAAAGGATTTAGCTTTCTTAAAGTCCTCTGGAGCAAAATGAAAGTCCTGCTTCCCTCCTGGGTCCAAATCCAAGTGTAGAAATCACTGCTGTGACCGGTAGAAAAGTTTGAACTCTAATGTGGTGGAAAAGCTCTTCCAGGCTCTGGCAACCATGCTTACTCAGTATCTCAGGTGGGTATCTACTAGACAAATGTTTATTTTTGTCTAGCGCCCAAATCTATTTCTCCTCTTGGAATCTTGACAGACCTAGTCTTAGGGGGGCCCCATACTTCTTGTGAGGTTATCCCTAGTAACTCATCAGATTATCACAGTGCCTGATGGAGGAGAATCCCCTCCTGCTTCCAGATAGGATGGGGAAGGGAGAAGTAATCTGGAAACACAAGGCCTGCTCCCAAGAGAAACTGTTTTCTTTCAGTCGGAGCCTAAACTATTGGGTTTTAGTGTAGCTTAACTGACCTAGGGGGAAGGGCGTATCCAACTTCAGCCTCTTCTCATTGGCTTCTCCTACCTAAGGAGGGAAGGCTGGGGACTGAGAAGCACTTTGTGAAGTTTACAGCTAAAGAGCACTTAAACTCACTAAAAGACAGATTTGGCTGAGCATGGTGGTCCACACCTATAATCCTAGCACTCTGGGAGGCTGAGGCAGGAAGATCACAAAGTCCAGCCCAGCCTGGGCAACTTAGTGATTTAGAGTCGGGGAAAGAGAGAAAGAGAGGGAGAGAGACAGACACACAGAGAAAAGTGCTGGGAATGTAGCTCAGTGCAAGGGCCTTGGGTTTGCTTCCCCCAAGAGATGGAGACCTAGTCACAGTACAATAGACCATTTCCCTTCTCCCACATCTTACCACCCTATCCTTGAATGCTATTCACCTTGGTTCCTTTTTGTTTAATCCAGCATGGTTGACATTCCACAAAAAATTACAAGATGTAACAAGCAGCAATCCTCTCCCCCAAAATAGATGGTGGCAACACTAAAACAAAATTTAGATATAACTGTGGTGTTAGGATGATTGGATTATGAAATTAAAGCAACTATGATAAATATGCTAAGGGATCCAGTTTATAAACAAACAAGTCGACATGCAAGAACAAATGGATATTGTGAACTGAGATGGAAATTGTAAGAAAGAACCAAATAGGCTAGAGATCAAAAACATTGGAATACATGAAGAATGTCTTTGATGTGCTTTTCAATGGATTGAACATAACTGGACAAAGATTCTTTGAACATTAAGATGTACCATGGAGGCTACCAAAGGGCAAAGAGAAGAGAATATCCAAGAAGAGTGAGAGAGCTACAAAGATTTAATGCATATATACTGACAGTGCCAGAAAAAGAAGAGAGTAAAAAACAGAAGAAACACTTGAAGTGATAATGACTAAGAATTTCTCCAAATTAATGTCAGGTCATAGATTAGGGAAGTTCAAAGAACACTAAGCTAGATAAATGGAAATATAAGCAATGGCAACTGTATTTAGGCATGTTAAATTCCAACTGTAGAAAATCAACAGTCAGTTAAAATTCTTGAAAGAAAAGGAAAAAACCTTTAAATACCGAGAAGCAAAGATAGGAATTACATCTGACTTCTCCTTTGAAACTATGCCAGTAAGAGTAAGTGGAATGTTTAACTTGTGAAACTTTCTTATAAAGCCAGATCCCACCTTGTCTATTTGCTGTTTGGAAAGGTGAGTCAGCTAAGTAGGTAATAAGAAAACTCTCTGATTTTCCAATATCAGCTGAGTACAAGATTCTGCTGACTATCACAAATCAATCCCTGTCCAACCTCCTATCTGCACTCCATTAGCCAATCCAACAGGGTTCAACACAAATGTTGCAAGATCAGACTACCTCTGGGCATCGTCCCTCAAAGAACCTTCTCCCTTTCTCTTCTTGGACCACAGCCTGGGTCTGCCATTTGTGATGTGTCTACATTTTGATTTCCACTCTTAAATACTTTTTTTTTTTTTTGCTTATAGCTTGATTCTTTTACAGTCTACCAAGTATTGAAAGAAAAACAAAATATCATAAAATTCTAAATTTTAAGTTATCCTTTAAAAGGGAAGGTATGAAGACTATCCTAGAGAAATAAAAACTGAGGTAATTTGACCATATTGAACTTAAACCAGAAATCAGTAATAGAAAGCTGAACCCCATATCACCACCTATCAATGTTTTCTGTTGCTAATAAAATATACAGACTGTGTAAATATAAAAGAAATTCTGGAGATTGGAAAGTCCCAAAGCATGGACACAACATCTATTCTTGATACTTTTGATTTTGGCCCAAAATATTTTTGTTCTGCATTCTCATCGCAGAAAGGCATTAGGGCAAGGAGCACACATGGAAGCGATAAAGCACCCAGGGTATTCCAGCTTCTTAATAACCCATTTTCACAGGAACTAACTTACTCCCATGTTAACATTAATTCATTCATGAGGAGTTCCTCTCCATGACCCAAACACTAGACCTGATCTCTCAATACCTTCACATTAGGAATCAAGTTTCCAATACACAAATTTGGAAGACACATCCAAACCATAGCACTCCAAAATACTTAGGGGATAAGCAATATATTTCTAGATAACACATGGACTGAAGAAGAAATCTTAGGAGACATCTAAAATTCTTTGAACTAAATAAACATGAAACAATATCCTATCAAAATCTATGAGATGGGGGGCTGGGGATTTAGCTCAGCGGCATAAGCGCCTGCCTTGCTAGCAGGCAGTCGTGAGTTCGATCCCTGGTACCGATAAAAACTAAAAAGATAAAAAAAAATCTATGAGATGCAGCAAAAGCAGGGCATAAAGGCAAATTTATAGCATTGGGTGCATACACAGTATTAGAAAAAAAGAAATTTGTAAGCCGGATGTGGTGGCTCATGCCTGTAATCCCAGCACTCGGGAGGCTGAGGCAGGAGGATCGTTGTGAGTTCCAGACCAGCCTAGGCTACAAAGTGAGCTCAAGGCCAGGCTGAACTGCACAGCAAGACCCTGTCTCAAAAAGACAAAAAATAAAAAAAAAAAGAAATTTGTAAAAATAAAATCAGGTAAGCTTCTACTTCTACCTTAGGGAAGGAAGAACAAATAAAATATACATATAAAAGAAGCTGACAAAATAATAAAAATTAGATAGAAATCAGTTGAAATTAGACAGCAATCAATATAGAAAAATCAACAAAAATAAAAGTTGGTTCTTTGAAAAGATCACTAAAATTGATAAACATCTGTATTTGTCAGCTTTTACTAGAGAGAACAGATATAACACGAGACATACAGATGTAAAAGAAACAAGATTGGCTTACAATGGTCAGCCACAGGGTCCGATGAGGAAGCATGCAGAGGGTGTCTACACACTGGAGGCCAAAGGATTCAATCCAAG